TGAGTACTGTATCCCTTTACTCTTATTTGTGTTAATTATTTATATAATGACCGGGGGGAAAAAAAAATATATATATAGTAAAAAAAAAAACAAAAATCCATTGGACTCAGATGACAAATGATACAGATTACTTTTTCTGGTATACTGAGGGTTCAAAGGTTTTGACCTGAGAAATAGTAGAGAGAGAATGAAAATTTCTTGAGCTTCTAGAAAGGAAAGTCAGATTGGGAATTGGGGAAAAGGAGAGTATCTCCAAAAATATGCTTCTCTGGCTTTTTAATTTAATCTCCAGACATCCCTGGACCAAGGCATTTGAAACCAAATTGTGAATATGAAGATTATTTTTTGTTAAGCACTTACCAGCACACCACTGATTATATTTGTTTTAGTTACAACATCTTATGCAAGTCTTGGCACAAAGTGTGTGTTTACTAAATATTCGTGAATGAACATGAAAACCTCAACAATTGTAAAATATTTTTATCATTATTATTATGTAGCAAGGGATTGATTATAAAAATATATAATCTGACAAAAAAACTACCCCAAAAAGCTTTTTTAAAAGCAAACATCCCTAAGATTGTTGCTTCTTCAACCTGACATTTCTCAAAATGTCAGGGAATATTAAAAAGACAGAGGGCGAGGCTCCATGGTTAAATAAAGTCAGGGAACACCTAGTTTAATGATGTAAAATAGATCTCTTGACTTGTCAGAGGTTTAATATTCACTGTGAATATTCACCAGTGGGATTTAAGTACATTTCCCAAAGATATCTGACATAGGAATTTTTTTCCAGGGACAATCTGGAGGCAAGTGTTCTAAATGTCATTAATTACCTTAAATAAACTAGTTAACACAAAAAAGCCAGTATTTTCCTCCCTTTTTCTGATCCTACAGATGTTTCTAAACTGGAGTTACTAGTACTGAATACTAAAAACCAAACTCATGGCCGTCAAGTTGATTCCAACTCATAGCAACCCTATAGGGCAGGGTAGAACTGCCCCATAGGGTTTCTAAGGAGCAGCTGGTGGATTCAAACTGCTGACCTTTAGGTTAGCAGCCAAAGCTCTTAACCACTGCACCACCAGGGATCTGCTAAATACTTGTCAGGTAAATTGTAATAATCTAAATTTCCTGGAATTTTATATGGTCACCACCAGATGGAGCTTTCACCTCCACTTTTTGGTTTACTCTGCTTACTAGAATAAATGAAGCATTTGCAGTGTTTTCTAATACGGATTCTTTTCCATTTGTTAAGATGGTGATATTATAAGGCACTGGCCAACTATTCTCGGAGTACTCACTAGAAAAAGCAATACTCAATTATAATTTTGAATTTTCTGCATCACAAGCCTGTAACATCTGTCTACGAAGGCTGATTGATAAATTCTCACACATGAGAATTACAGAATTCTAAACTAAAATAGACCTTGGTGATCATTTAGTCTAATTTCTAATTATAGAATTCTAAACTAAAATAGACCTTGGTGATCATTTAGTCTAATTTCTAATTATAGAATTCTAAACTAAAATAGACCTTGGTGATCATTTAGTCTAATGACCAATGAATGCGAGGACAAGGGAAGATAAGTAACATACCCAAGGTCAGGGGGCTGAGGCCCATTTAAGACCTACACCACTGAGTTTTCATTTCATGTCTGTCTTTATCTCTTTAAATGCTGACAAGACTGGGAATTAATATTTCTAGCTCTTGCTCAAATAGCAATTGTTTCCATTCCACAGCAGGCCACATGAGCGCTATACTCCAATACTTCTTTATTCTGCCACTCTTGTCAATCCCAGAATTATTACTAAGTAATCATTTAATCAAACTAAACACATGAAATACCTTGATCTGCTCTTAAACTATTTACAGTGTCCCAAAGAAACAAAATATGGTTATCTATTTCCTACCTTATGTTTATTTGATTTGTAAAACCAAAAAAACCAAACCTGTTGCCATAGCTCATAGTGACCCTATAGGACAGAGTAGAACTGCCCCATTGGGTTTCCAAGGACCAGCTGGTGGACTTGAACTGCCAACCTTTTGGTTAATAGCCAAGCTCTTAACCACTGCACACCAGGGATTTGTAAAGAACATAAGAATTATTAAAAAGCCATGTAACAAAGGGGGAAATCTCACTTTAAACGAAAGGAGATAGATTTGCATTTTCAATTTAAATGATGAGTAAAGTTTTTGTTTTGTTTTCCATAATTAACCTGGACCTTGCCTTGATTTTCTGACATCAAGTCTGCTTTCTAACCCTCTTTGTGGACCTGGACTACATGCTTAGGCAGAGGGATGAGGAGACTCATGCCTAGAGGGCCTGTACTAAGACTAGGAAGCAAAACAGATCCCCCTAAATTTATCCTCACTGCCTCTCTCTAATCTATCACCAGTGGGTCATAAAGCCTCATGGAATTTTTCTATTTTCCTTGGTTTTTTTTAAATTTATTTTTGCTAGACAGTATCTTGAGGAGCAGGAGTCCCTGGGTAGTATAAACGGTTACTGCACTAGACTGCTAATCAAAAGACTGGAAGTTCGAGTCCACCCAGAAGTACTTCTACTCATCAGAAGAAAGGCTTGGCAATTTGCTTCCGATAAATCAGACACAGAAAATTCTACAGAGCCCACTTCTTAGAAGGGAGGATGGCGAGACTTTGTCTTACATACTTTGGACATGTTATTAGGAGGGACCAGTCCCTGGAGAAAAATATCATGTTTGGTAAAGTAGAGGGTCAGCAAGAAAGAGGAAGACCCTCAACGAGATAGACTGCCACGTGGCTACAACGATGGGCTCAAGCATAGTAACAACTGTGAGGATGATGCAGGACCAGGCAGTGTTTCATTCTGTTGTACGTGGGGTTGCTATGAGTCAGAACCAACTCAACAGCACCTAATAACAACGACAATAACCATGATCAATAAATATAAACTGTTGAGTTTTCTGTTCTCACAACCTTCATGTAACTCCTACAGCCAACCTCCCATGTGAGAAATACTGAAACACAAAAATTTTTCCAATGTAAACTGACAACTGATTGGAAATATTTGAAAATGGGGCACCAGAGGTAGTTCTGTATCTTAGGAATATTTCTTCCCGGAAAGACGTTAGATGAAATGGTTATTAGTTTTAGAAGTTCAGCTTTCCAGAAATTAAGCATTTTTTCACAGTAAATTAATCAACCAGATATAGTCGATTCTCAGCTCTCTCATAACTCACTGAAAGAATAGAAAATACTTGGTTGCAATTTCTAATTTATAATTGTATTAAAAACCTGTTCCAAAGCTTATTTCAAGTCGGATTAGATTTGAAGTAGAAGAAAGCAACCCTTGTAACTTTTAATTTACTTTCTTCTCTACTGAATTAACTTATTCCTGTGTAACTAGAATTTCAGAAACATTTCAGAATCATTTTTATGCTATAATAACTCACCTCTTCCTTTGGAAAATAATTTATTGTTATTTCCCAGGATGACTTTTGTTCCATTCTTCTATTCCTCTCCTTTCTTCTTTGATCCATATGTAGTTCTGCCACGTACTTACTACACGGAGTTCAGTGTTAAGCATTGTTCCATTGGTGGTTGGTTGGTTATGTAATCATCCATTCTTTTCTCGAGAAAAATGAGGGGAATTGCTAAAAATTTACTCAAAGAAAAAAAAGTACTTGCAAGAAAATCCAGAAATGAAGTCCCTACTTACTTTTTCAAATTTGTTCTTAATTATTAACAGAATGTTGAGGGAGGGAAAGTAATAATCCATATTTCTTCTCTTTTATTTTATGTTTCTCCCAAAAACAGTGAAAAAATTTTAATCAAATAACTTTCCAGTTTAACTGCAGCCAGACAGTGTCTTTCCAAGTCTCCCAGCTGGCTAGTTACTGATCATAAGCACTTATTCTTTGTCTCTTAACATCAGGACTGTCCTTTTTCTTCAGTTAAGGAAGTTACATCCTGGTTTTGAACTCAATTGCTCGCCAACTAAATGTACTGCCTTAAAAAAAAAGCCTTAAGAATAAACAGAAACCTTAGACAATAAAGGTGAATTGTTTTTACTCAGAGCTTGTTTGAAAAGCTCAGATATAATACTTCCATTGTTTCTTGCAATTTGCTAGTCTGACCCTAGACAAGTAATGCACTTCTGCCTTGTTTCCACACCTGCAAAACGGAGATAACAGCTACCTCACAAGGTTAATCTAACATTAAGCCCACTGCCGTCGAGTCGATTCTGACTCATAGCGACCTTATAGGACAGAGTAGAACTGCCCCATAGGGTTTCCAAGGAGCAGCTGGTGGATTCCAACTGCCCACCTTTTGGTTAGTACCCGAGCTCTTAACCACTGCACCACCAAGACTCTGACCTAACATTAGTAATGGTAATTTCTGGGTGTTGGTATTAGCTTTTTCCTTTGAACTACAGTATTTGTATTTAAGCTAAGTGATTTTTCTAAAATAAAAAAAAAAAGGAGGGAGGTGATGACCACCATAAGAGTAATATCCCTTTCAAATAAATATAAAATGATCTTTGAGGTAAGCAAACACAAGAATTCCTCTGGAAAATTAATGGTTCATTCATTTGGCGTGGGATAAATCTAAGTTGGAATTAGCTCTTCCCCTTTGGGAGAGTCACAGGTGTAGTACTTCACTCCTCTTAAATCGATTCCCTACTCTACAAAATTTCACAGGATTTTAGTAAGAATTACATGAGGAAATGCCTGTAACATGTTTACCAGAGGTTTAAGAACTTAGAGTTGAATAAATAATTACAGTAATATTGTTTGTTCATTAATCCAAGCAACATTTAAGAAGCCCTCACTACTAGGGATGCATAAAGGTTAATAACGCTATGTCTTTACCCTATCCTGAAAAGAGAATAGACGGCAACATACCCAGCAACACTTCAGAAACCTCTTTGCAAGGAATTAAGGTCGTCGAATCTATGCTGCACAACCAGAGACCAAACATTGAGAGCAAGCGTTTGTTTGCGCATGCGCAAATTTGCCTCCCAGCTCCCGCCCCTTGTTCTGCTCCGCAGCAAAGACACCGACTAGTGCGCTTGCGTTGTGACCTAGACTAGGCGCCTGCGCTGCGTGGCACTGGCTGGACTGGAAGTCATGGCGTGGGTACCGGTGGAGTCTGCTGTGGAAGAGCTTATGCCCCGTCTCTTGCCAGTGGAGCCCTGCGACTTGACGGAATGTTTTGATCCCTCCGTACCCCCTAGGACGCCTCAGGAGTACCTGAGGCGCGTCCAGTGAGTGATTTGGCCCTGTGCGGGTGGGTTGGTCGTCCGCCCTGCCCCTGGGCCCAGTGCACGGTTCCCCCCTCGGCTCCTGTGTGTTAAAGCCAGGCTCGAGTTTCTTCCTCTCCCCTTCCCACGGGAGCTCGGGTCTGATCAAGCTTCCTGGATTACATCTTGTGTACTCTTGAATTTCCTTGTTTTCAATTCAGATAATTTCAGAAATGTTTAGTACTTCAGTTGCAGTTCTGAAATTTTTTGCTTTTGATTTCATAATGAACTCTAGAAATGGATCGCTTGTTTTAATACACATGAACAAAGCACAATAGTAATTAAGTTTCTTTCATTTATTATTCATTTATAGACTCGAAGCAGCCCAATGTCCAGATGTTGTGGTAGCTCAAATTGACCCAAAGAAGTTGAAAAGGAGGCAAACTGTGAATGTTTCTGTGAGTTTTATTAACCGTTTGGAGATCTTTTTTTCCCCCACAAATTACAAGTCCAAGGCTTTTTCTATAGTATCCGACAGTATCAGTTATGGTGTATGTAAGATTTGACTACTCCCTACGGAAGTTAGACATTTGCTTGTACTTTTTAACGGAAGGACAATTGGCATTTACTGCTTTCAGAGAGACTTGCAGTAACCCTGACATTTGTGGAGACTTGGCTGTCTTACCTTAGGAACGTGATCCAGTGCTGAAGGAGTGTTTAAGTGAGTTACTTATTCTACACTATTATTTTATTGTGGTGAAATATGTATATAACAGAAGTTTGCCACTTAACATACTTAAGTATACAGTTTAGTGACATTACAGTCACAATTTTGTACACTTTATTTTTAAGGAAACTTTTGCCAGTTGAATCTTCATAATTATTACTAGACTGGTGTATACACTCATCCAGTGTAGTTTACCCATTCTGTAGCTGTGTAATTGCATATTCTAGTTTGACTGAGTTTAGTTTCTTAAGAATACTAAACCACTTGCCTTGGAGTTGATTCCAATGCCTGGTGACAGACACCATGTGTTTTTAATGGCTGTGATCTTTCAGAAGCAGATCGCCAAGCCTTTCTTCTGAGGCACCTATTGGTGGATTGAAATCGCCAGCCTTTCACACTTAACTGCGCACCACCCAGAGACTCCCTTCTTAAGAATAAAACCCATTGCCATCGAGTCAATTTTGACTCATAACGACCCTGTAGGACAGAGTAGAACTGCCCCATATGGTTTCCAAGGCTATAATATTTACAAAAGCATACTGCCACATTTTCTCCTGCTTCTTTAAGAATAGAGACCCACATATCTTAAACTTTTTCCAGCTACTTTCACAATGTAGTCATTTTCATTTATTTATGCAACACATTTTTTGTTAAGCACCTAGGTTGTGCCAGACACTGGGAATATAACAGAGGAGAAGATAGAAAAGGCCCTCACTCTTACAGAGTATACATTCTCCTGAGGAAAACAGAATAAACAAATAAGTATACATTGTGACTATTGCTGTGAAGAAAATAAACATAATGACCAATAAATAACAAGGAAAACTGCTTTAGATAGACTAGTCACTGACAGTCTCTGAGGAGGTGATATTGGATGTAAGGTCAAAGGAGAGCAACAGTTTTTGTTTTCTTTCGTTTTTAATCTTATTTCTGTTTTTAAAGATTTTAATGCATTTTATTTATAAGAGCAATTTTAGGTTTACAGAAAAATTGTGCAGAAAGTCCAACATTCTCATATACCTCCTGTTCCCCCTGCACAGTTTCTTCTGTTACTAACATATTGCATTAGTGTGGTACATTTATTACAATTGATGAGCATATATTGATAACACTATTATTAACTAAAGTTCATATCTTTTATTAGGGTTCATTCTTTGTCATGTATAGTTCTGTGGGTTTTTTCCAAATGCCTAATGCCACGTATCCACCATTACAATACGCAGAATAGTTTCACTGCCCTTACGATGCCCAGTGCTTCACCTGTTCATCCCTTTCCACCTCTCCCTGAGCCCCAGCCAGATTAAACCCTTTCCTCAGCTTTATTTCTGTTCTGAGACCGTAGTTGGAAAAATAAGATTCATGATTCTGAAATATGAGTATAAGAATATTTATGAATCAGTTAGTAAATTATTACCGTAATCCTTAAACATAGTACAGTTTGGAGCACTGTTTTTATAGTTTTGCCTTTTCCGCAATGTCATATAGTTGGAATCATACAGCATGTAGCTTTTTCCACTTAGCAGTATGCATTTAAGTTTCCTCCATGTCTTTTTATAGCATGATAGATCATTTCTTTTTATCACTGAATAATACTCCATTGTATGAATGTACCACAGTTTATCTCTTCACTTGTTGAGGAACATCTTGGTTGCTTATTATTTTTGGCAATTATGAATAAAGCTGCTGTAAATATTCCTGTGCAGTTTTTTGTGTGGACATAAATTTTGGTTCATTTGGGTAAATACCTGAGAGCACAATTGCTTGATCATATACTAAGCCTATGTTTAGCTTTGTAAGAAACTGCCGGACTGTCCTCCAAAATGGCTATACCATTTTGCATTCCTACTAGCAATGAGTGACAGTTCTTGTTGCTCCACATCCTCACCAGCATTGGTGTTGTCAGTGTTTTAGATTTTAGCCATTCTAATAGGTATGTATCTCATTATTGTTGAGAGCAGCTGTTCTTACATTTTGACAATAAATTCTTTTCCCTTTTATGTTCTAAGTAATTTGTTTATGTGATATTTATAATCAGGAATTTTAATTCAGATACTGTAATGTTTCTTAACGTTCGTTTTCAGAAGTCTTTAATTGATGGAAGATGATGTTTTATGTAATTAATTTTTTAAAAAGTGACCGCACAAGTTTTATTTCAATATGTGATCAATTGTGGATTATGTACTGTGTTAGAAAACAGCAGTAGGCCCTTTAAAGTCAAGTGTCTCAAGTTATTTGAGTATATTTTGCCCATTCTAATATTCTTTATTTGGGGTATACCCTCTTTTTTTTGTTTCAGAGTATTTTGTTGTTATAGAAAGATGGGACTAGATTATATCTTCAAGGCTCATGTCATTTAGATTTCTTATACTCAGTTATGGAGACCTCCTAGGTTAAAGGGCTTGGGACCATAGTCTTATGGGATAACTCAGTCTGTTGGTATAACATGGTTCATAAAGATCATGTTCTACATCCTAGTTTGGTGAGTAGCGTCTGGGGTCTTAAAAGGCTCGTGAGTGATCATCCAAGATACAACAGTTGGTCTCTTTCTATCTGGAGCAAAAGAGAATGAAGGAAACGGAAGACTCAAAGAAGAAACTAGTCCACAGGATTAATAGCCCACATGAAGCATAGCCTCTTCTAGCCTGAGATCAGAAGAACTAGATGCTGCCTGGCTACACTACCAACTGTTCTGAATAGGGATACAATAGAAGGTCCCAGATAAAATGGGGGAAAAATGTAGAACAAAACTCAAATTCCTAAAAAAGACCAGATTAAAGGAGCCCCAGAAACTATCGCCCTAAGATACCCTTAACTTGAAATTGAAGCCACTCCCGTAGGTCTCCTTTCAGCCAAATAATAGATTGGCTTATAAAAAAATCACCTGTGAGGGTATGTGCTTCCATAAACGATGAACTGCACAAGACCAAATGGTCAAAATTTACCCAAAAGCAAGGATGAGAAGGCAAGGAGGTACAGGGAAGCTAGATAAATGGAAACAGAGCAAATGGAATGGAAATAATAAGAATGCTGATACATTGCAAAAATTGTAACCAATGTTACAGAACAATTTGTATAAAAATTGTTAAACGGGAACCTAGTTTGCTTTGTAAGCCATCACCTAAAACACAATAAAGTATTCCAAAAAAAAAAAAGAATAACCAAGCAGTCTGAAAAAAAAACAAGACCATCATAGTAGAAGTGGAATTCTTATACTTCAACTATAAACTATTCTAGATTGTTCTTATCGAAGTGACTAGTAAAGATCTTTTCTTAATGATTTCTGTTTGACATATAAAGTGAAATGCCTACTTTTTTGCATCTGCAGTATGTATTTTTCTTGTATAGTCTTAATTCTATTCTTTTACTTTAGATCTGCTTTTACTTTGTAGAGGCATGAGATCCTAGTTGTAATACTAAACCTTGGTTATAACATTTCTGATCTCTAGCTCTCAGGATGCCAACCTGCTCCTGAAGGATATTCCCCAACACTTCAGTGGCAACAGCAACAAGTAGCACAGTTTTCAGCTATTCGACAGGTAACTGTAATCATTTAATCAAATTAAACCCTTTCCTCAGCTTTATTTCTGTTCTGAGACTGTAGTTGGAAAAATAAGATTCATGATTTTGAAATATGAGTATAAGAATATTTATGAATCAGTAAATTATTACCATAATCCTTAAACATAATACAGTTTGGAGCATATTTTCCAAGTAGTAGGATTGTTAGATTATTGTACAGACACCAATTTCAGTTATTTATTCTTTAAAGATCACTGTCTGACTTTTTTTCTCTAGAGTGTGAACAAGCATAGAAGTCACTGGAAGTCACAACAGTTGGATAGTAATGTGATCATGGTACGTGAGTTTTCTCAGTTTAAGTTATACAATGTACAGTTGGCCTTCCCTATCCGCGGTTTCAACCAACCACAGATGGAAAATATTCGAGTAGGGGGAGGAGCTCAAGGGCGTGGGGGCAACGCAGAGGGTAGAACAAGACAAGACAGGGTTTGGTCTAAGGAACGGTATGTGGCTGTGAAGAAAGAAGCCCCCGGGGGACTAGAGGCAGTCCCACCCTGACACAGTTTGGACAAGTGAGAACACTAGGAATGGGGTCACGAACTTATGCTCTGGTGCTTCTTGGCCTGACCAGTGCGCTGGCAGAGCATGTTTGTGGCAGAGGTCTCTTGTCTGGAAGAAAAGAATAAAGTTGGCAGGCCCAGGACCTAGTACACTCTGTACCGTGTATGTGCGGTTGTCCAAAATCACCCAGAAACTCCTACCTGAAGAACCCCTGGCTTGGAGGGTAGCCTGCGGCAGGAGGGCCCAAATGCAGCTATCCTTAAAAGTGCCAACTTTGATCCAGTGCCTCACGCGTCTGCCCTAATCTGGCCCAACCATCACTGTTCCACTTCAAAGTGAAACACTGCTCATTCCTGTGCTATGTTAAAAAAAAAAAAAAAAAAAAAAACCTATGCCATTTTATATAAGGGGACTTGTGCGTTTGCGGATTTTGGTATTCACGGTGGTCTTGGAACCAATCCCCCATGGATCCCAAGGGATGACTATATACCTGTTTGAAATAGTCCATATTTACTTCCAGTCTTTAGAGATTCACTCACTTGGTCCATATTATTTTCTTCTTTTTTTTTTCCATATACCATTAATAGTAATAATTGTATTATAGGCAGTCCCCAGTTATGAACGAGTTCTGTTCCTAAGTCTGTCTTTAAGTCAGATTTGTATGTAAGTCACAACAGTTAATCACATGTTTGTCTTAGTATATAGCGTACCTTTCTATGCATAAAAAACACTAAAGAAGCACTTCCAGATATGCTAAAACATCTTTAACATAATAATATAGTAATAATAATAACGTCTTGATACATGTTGCAAAGTAGCGCCTGCTTGTTGTTATAAACCATTGTATGTACTTCAGATTTTTAATATAATAGATTTTACATGATTGGCTGGTAACTATATGTTGTACGTAAGTTGGATGTTCGTAACTTGGGGACTGCCTGTATATTAAAAAACCAAATCACCCTGGAAGACATGGCTCCCAGACTGTCTGTTAGCCCAAAACTAAAACCATTCTTGAAGCCAATTCGTCAGACAAAGATTAGACGGGACTGTGAGACATAAAATGATACTTGTGAAGAGAATGCTTCTTATTCTTAGCTCAAGTAGGTACATGAGACTAAATGGGCAGCTCCTGTCTGGAGGTGAGATGAGAAGGCAAAAAGGGACAGGAGCTGGTTGAATGGACACAGGAAATCTGGGGTAGGAAGGAGGAGTGTGCTGTCACATTATAGGTAGAGCAGCTAGGGTCACATAACAATGCGTGTATAAATTTTTGTGTGAGAAACTAACTTGACCTGTAAACTTTCATGTAAAGCATAATTTAAAAACACACACACACACACATACACCCAAAAGAAAGTTCAGACTTCCTGGACCAGTTGAGACTAAAGGACTTCCTGAGACTATCACCCTGAGATGCTCCATAAACCTTGAACCAAAACTACCCTCTCAGGTCACCTTTTAGCTGAAGAACAGATTGGCTCATAAAATAAAGAATATTACCATTGAGGACTGTACACCTTTAAAAAATCATCTATATGAGACCAAATGGTCAACAATTACTCAAAAGTAAAGATGAAAGGGTAAGGGGACAGGGAAACAAGATTGCTGGAAATGAAACATCCAGAATGTTACATATGAGAATGTTAAGACATTGTGAAAAATGTAACCAATGTCACTGAACAATTTGTGTAGTAATTGTTAACTGGGAACCTAATTTGCTGTGTAAACTTTCACCTTAAACACAATAAAATATTATTTAAAAAAAAAAAAAAGCCAGTTGCCATTGAGTCGATTCTGACTCATGATGACCCCATGTGTGTCAGAATAGAACTGTGCTCCATACGGTTTTTAATGACTGATTTTTCAGAAGTAGATCACCAGATCTTTCAAGGTGCCTCTGGATAGACTTGAACCTCCAGCCTTTCGATTAGCAGCCAAGTGCTTTAATGATTTGCTCTACCCAGGACCTCCTTTATTTTAGTAGCCTGAAAAGTATAAAATCAACAGTGTAAGTTGTTGTGTTTATGACAATTTGAATCCATAGCATCTTGGGAGACTTTAGAGTAGATAATTGTTAGGCTTCTACAAGTTTTTAAGGGTTCTTCTAGACATTTTTTTAGGAAATAAATACATTTTTACTAGCATCTTAGTCATCTAGTGCTGCTATAACAGAAATATCACAAGTGGATGGCTTTAACAAGCACAAGTTTATTCTCTCACAGTCTAGTAGGCTAGAAGTCTGAATTCAGGGCATCACTTCCAAGGGAAGGCATTCTCTTTCTGTCGGCTCTGAAGGAAGATGCCTGTCATCAATCTTCCCCGGCCTAGGAGCTTCTCAGTGCAGGGACCCCAGGTCCAAAGGACGCGCTCTGCTCCCAGTGCTGCATTTGTGGTATGAGGTCACCCCCTGTCTGCGCGCTTCTCTCCTCTATATCTCAAAAGAGATTGACTTAAAACACAATCTAATCTTCTAGATTGAGTTTACATAACTCCCAGGATCCCGTCTCATCAACATCATAGAGATAGGATGTACAACACATATAGAAATCACATCAGATGACAAAATTGTGGACAGTCACACAATACTGGGAATCATGACCTAGCCAAGTTGACAGATATTTTGGGGGGACAGAATTCAATCCATGGCAAGTAGTATTTATTTACAAAGAGATTGAATAAGGGCTTATTGAACTTTTTTTATGAGGGAATGGTTCCATGAAGCAAACCTATAGGCTTGCAGAGTATCTTCTCTGCTTCGTGGTATCAGTGGCATCTTAGTGAAGCCTCGAAAGTGCATAATGGGAAAGAGCATTTTCTAGATGTAATTTAAAGCTGTTTAGTAGATACGTTTTATCTAGTCTACTGAATAAAAAACCAGAAAGGGTGGATACATTGTTCTAGGACAAGAGTTTTTACCCTTTTAGGGTGTCTCATATTCCCCCTGAGAATCTGTTGAAAGCTGTTTATCCACAGGGAAAAAAATGCACCTGTACTCAAAATTTTACACACAGTTTCAGGGGGTTCGTAGATTTCAGAAGCCTCCTCTAGGCAGTGCTTCTTAACATCTTTTACATGGGGACACATTGCAATAAATGGAAGAGGCTGCTTGCACAGTCTTCCTGAGCTACACTAGCTGTCACTGAAAGCTGGAAGATTCAATATTTGGCAGTTGAAAGTTCTGCTCTAGGAAGGTATAAAGGAAATATTCCAGGGGAAAAAAACAGACTTTTTTCTTGTTACTATTTCATAAACATTATAGTGGAATAACTATTTGCATAGCATTTACATTGTATTAGGTATTATAAGTAATCTAGAGATGATTTAAAGTATACATGAGGATGTCCATAGGTTATATGCAAATACTATGTCGTATTAGGGACTTAAGCAACCGTGGATTTTGGTATCTGGGGGGGTCCTGGAAACAATCCTCCACTGACACCGAGGGACAACTGTTCTTAGCTAGTACGAGTTATAGCTGGGATTCAAGAGTTATAGTTTTTCTGACTCTAAAACCTGTGTTCCTTTCACTATGTAGTAGGACCTTCCTAATAAGGGCATGTGGGCATGTGGGCAGGCAGGTGGTTTTTTTTTTTTTTTCCTTATTTGGTATAAGGACTTCTGGGTACATGCCTACTCATTTAAAAAGAAGCCACATCAATAATGTAACTTGTACAGCCCACAAATATATATATATATATAATTTTTTGAAAAAATGAAAGCAATCTAACATAATTGATGAATTAATTACAGTCTATCAAAACAATAGAATGCTATGTAGCAATTAAAACTTCATCCTGACAAATGTAAAACAGTATGTGAATATTAATGCGTGAAAAATTTTTAAAAGCACGTTCTGATGGCAACTCTTTAAATATAAACATTGATTTTCTCATTTATTTATTGTGCTTTAAGCAAAAGTTTACAGGTCAAGTTAGTTTCTCATACAAAAATTTATACACACATTGTTACGTGACCCTAGTTGCTCTCCCTGTAATGTGACAACACACTCCTCTTTTCCACCCTGGATTTCCCATGTCCATTCAACCAGCTCCTGTCCCTTTTTGCCTTCTCATCTCTCCTCTGGGCAGGAGCTGCCCATTTAGTCTCATGTATCTACTTGAGCTAAGAAGCATTCTCTTCATGAGTATCATTTTATGTCTTATAGTCCAGTCTAATCTATGTCTGAAGAGTTGGCTTTGGGGAAGATTTCAGTTCTGGGCTAACAGAGAGTCCAGAGGCCATGTCTTTGAGGGTCCCTCCAGTCTCAGACCATTAAGTCTGGTCTTTTTACTAGAATTTTAGTTCTGCACCCTACTTTTCTCCTGCTCTGTCAGCGACTTTCTATTGTATCCCTGTCAGAGTGGCCATTGGTGGTAGCTGGGCACCTTTTGTTTTTTCTGTTTTCGGGTTGTTGAGTTTTTTGTTTTTTTTTGCCCTTTTGTCTCTTGGGCTAATACTTTCCTTGTGTCTTTGGTGTTCTTCATTCTCCTTTGCTTCAGGTGGGTTGGGACCAATTGATGCATCTTAATGGCTGCTCACTAGCTTTTAAGACCCCAGATGCCACTCACCAAAGTGGGATACAGAACATTTTCTTTTTTAATTAATTAATTTATTTATTTTATTCTTTTTTTTTTTTTTTTTAACATACATTGTTATGAGACCCCAACAGCTCACCCCATTCTGCGACAGCACATTCCCCCCCTCCGCTGCTGATTCCCCATGAACATTCAACCAGCTCCTAACTCTCTGCCTTCCCATCTCACCTCTGGACAGAAGCCGCCCCTTTGGTCTTTTGTATCTACTTGTCTAAGAGGCATATTCTTCACAAGTATCACTTTATGTCCCACAGTCCAGTCCAATCCCTGTCTAAAGAGTTGGCCTCGGAAATTGTTTTAGTTCTGGGGTGATGGAGAAACCAGGGGCCATGCTTTCCAGGGCACCTCCAGTCTTAGTCAGACCATTAAGTCTGGTCTTCTTACTAGAATTTGAGTTCTGCATCCCATCGTTCTACTGCTCCATCAGGGACCCTCTGTTGTGTTCCCTGTCAGGACATTCATTGGTGGTAGCCGGGCACCATCTAGTTCTTCCGGTCTCAGGCTGATGAAGTCTCTGGTTTATGTGGCCCATTCTGTCTCTTGGGCCAGTACTTTCCTTGTGTCTTTGGTGTTCTTCGTTCTCCTTTACTCCAAGTGGTTGGGACCAATTGATGCATCTTAGATGGCTGCTTGTGAGCTTTTAAGACCCCAGACGCCACTCACCAAAGTAGGATGCAGAACATTTTCTTAATAAGCTTTGTTATGCCAGTTGACCTAGATGTCCCCTGAAAGCATGGTCCCCAGACCCCCACCCCTGCTACTCTGTCCCTCGAAGTGTTTGCTTGTATTGAGGAAACTTCTTAGCTTTGCTTTACTCCAGTTGTGCTGACTTCCCCTGTATTGTGTGTTGTCCTTCCCTTCCCCTAAGATAATTCTTATCTACTATTTAGTTAGTGAATACTCATCTCCTTCCCTCCCCACCTTCGTAACTATCAAAGAATGGTTTTTTCTGTGTTTAAATCATTTCTTAAGTTCTTATAATAGTGATCTCATACAATTTGTCTCTTTCCGACTGACTAATTTCACTCAGCAGAGTGCCTTCTATATTCCTCCATGTTATGAGATGTTTTGCAAATTCATCATTGTTCTTTATCGTTGCATAGTATTCCACTGTGTGAATGTACCATGATTGGTTTATCCATTCATCCATTGATGGGCACCTAGGTTGTTTCCATCTTTTTGCTATTGTGAACAGTGCTGCAGTGAACATGGGTGTGTGTATATCTGTTCATGTGACGGCTCTTATTTCTCTAGGATATATTCCAAGGAATGGAATTGCTGGATTGTATGGTACTTCTAGCTTTTTAAGGAAGCATCAAATCGATTTCCAAAGTGGTTGTACCATTTTACATTCTCACCTGCAGTTATTTATTAATCACCTACTCTATTCAATGCCAGAGCCCTGGTGGTGCAGTAGTTAAGAGCTCAGCTGCTAACCAAAAGGTCAGCAGGTCGAATCCACCAGCTGCTCCTTGGAAACCCTTTGGGGCAGTTCTGCCCTGTCGTGTAAGGTTGCTATGAGTCAGAATTGACTCGATGGCAACAGGTTTGGGTTTTGTATATTCAATAATCAGGGTATTCAGTGCTGAATGAAACAGAAACAGTTTCTGCCCTAATGGAGTAATGAGGAAAGGTGGATACATTGTCCCCGTATAATAGTTTTTAACCTTTTAAGGGTCTCATATTCCTCCTATTTATGCTCGGAAGAAGAAAATGCACCTATGCAGAGTAATGTACAAGGTTATGAGTACAAATACTAATTGTTTTGTTAAGGTAGTTATATTGAGCTGAATGCTTCTCCCTACCAGTGCTCCTTTTTCCGTTTGGCATTGTAGAATAAATCTATTCCTTCTTTCACCAGACAGCCCTTCAGGCATGTGAAGTATATAATCATGTCTCCTTTTGTGGGATTAAACATCCTTGTTGTAAGCATTCTTATTGTATGTTTTTTCCATACTGATTTCCATTTTTATCACCCTCTTTTGGACACTCCCTGGTTTGTCAGCATCCATAAAAGTGTGATCCAAACCAAACACATACTACATATGGTGTGACCTCACAGGCAATATATCTGTGTGTTGAAGTGGTGGGACTATGGGGATTCTAATATCTTTTCTTACTGTTCAGTATAAAAATAAATACAATGAAATAAATTCTTTTTTTTCCCCAGCCAAAATCTGAGGATGAAGACGGCTGGAAAAAATTTTGTCTGGGTGAAAGGTTATGTTCTGAAGGGATTGTTGGACCAGCTACAAATGAAAGTCCAGGAATTGATTATGTACAGGTAGATGATATGTGAATAAACAAAACAAAAAGGGTTCTAATTTTGGTGCATCACTTAGTATAAGGGGTCAGCAAACTATGGCCTAGGCAAAATCCAGCCCATGGTCTGTTTCTGTACAGCCCACAAGCTAAGAATGGTTTTCACACTTTCAAAGGATTGCAAAAAAAAAAAGAAAAAAAACACATATACAAAGAATATGTGACTGTTACAGTGTGAGGCCCACAAAGCCTAAAATATTTACTGTCTGGCCCTTTACAGAAAATGTTTGCCAACCTCTGACTTAGTTCATTGGCACTTTAACTTATAAAATGGCAGTCCGGTTTCTGAAACAATTTACTCTGACTTATTTTAGATTGACTTCATATCTTTCATGTTTTAGCTGTGTAATTTTGCAAGTTAGATAGGATTTGGTTTTTCAAAATGATTAGGCATGGATCAAACAATGACCTAGGAATGACAAAGGAAAACATGAAACAGTTTCAAAATGGTGCTAAAAAATGCTTGGTGGTTACTTATTCTGGAAAAGAAATGTTGAAAATGTATTTAAATTTCATATGGCTTCATTGTAATCATGTATTATGTGGTCCACTCCTTGTCCTTCAGGATTCACCTGCCTTGAGTCTGCAGATATTCCTATGGAACTTATTACATATATCTATATTACTACTTACTCCCTATATTATGTTTTGTTCTATTCCACAAATATTTATTGTTTGCTGTAGGTGCCAAGGAGCCCAGGTGGCGTATTGGTTAACAGCTCACCAAGCATTTTTTAGCACCTCTCTAAGTCAGAGGTTGGCAAACATTTTCTGTAAAGGACCAGACAGTAAATATCTTAGGCTTTGTGGGCCTCACACTGTCCCAGTCACATATTCTTTGTATGTTTTTTTTTTTTACAACCCTTTGTCGACTTGACGGTAACGGGTTTTGGTTTTATAGTGTGCCACGTTGTGTTTTTTCCATTTAAAACTAATTTATCTAAAAAATATAAAGAGCTCCAAAAATCACTAAAAAGACCAAGAACCCTATAGAAAAACAGGCCGAGGATATAAATAGACATTTCACAGAAAGGAAATACCAGTGGTTCTTATATGAGAGATGCCCAACATCACTTGTAATAGAAATGTAACTGTAACGACACTGAGCTGCTATTTTTAGGTAATATTGGCAAAGAAAGTTTGAAATACTATGTTGACGAGGGCTGAGAAAACAGGCAGTCTCACACATGGTCATAGGAGTATGCCAAACAAAAAAAAAATCGAACCTATTGCTGTCAAGTGATTCCAACTCATAGCGACCCTATAGGACAGAGGAGAACTGCCCCATAGAGTTTCCAAGGAGCAGCTGGTGGATTAGAACTGCTGACCTTTTGGTTAGCAGCTGAACGCTTAACCACTGCGCCACCAGGGCTCCATCATAGGAGTATAAATAGATTCAAATCTCTAAGGGGGCTAAGCTGGCACTCTTTCTTATATAACCTTTTGTCCTCTTGAAGAATATTGTTAATGTATGCTACAATTCAAAAATGTTTCTAATCTGACAAAGAATAAAAATTTATTTATTTAGCTTATTTTCACAGTATGTACAAGTAAAACACACCACATGAGAGAACCATTTAAGGACACAACAGTTTAATGCATATGCTCTTAAGTTTCTCACAGCTCAGTGGTGTTTTTATAATCAGGACTCCCAGCATCAAACTCCAAAGAATACTTTTTTTTTTTTTCCTTAAATCTAATCAGATTGAGTTTTTAAAAAAACAGTCTAATTCAGGTATCCTTAATTCCAGAAAATAATTAGCTTTAGCTAAAGATTTTGAAATGATGTATACCATATATTAATGTCACAGTATCACTGTTAGTTATAATTTTACTGAACATATTTAATAGGAAGTTAACTTTACAGGTAGTATCATTTTTTTTTTAATTTTGTATTTTAACATTTTAGTTACTAAAATTGTTCTTTATTTTAAAATTTACATATTCAAATTTCATGTAATTATTTTCTTGGGCATTACCAACATGATAGTTTCTGGAATGTTATAATGGGCGATAAAGGTGTTTTCTTTTATCCATTCTTTGTTTTTAAACAGTGTGGCAAGAAATTCACTAGTTTAAAAAAAAATAAAGCCCTGCTTATAATATCATTTAATAAATTTCAGTATTTTTTTTTTTTTTTTCCAGATTGGCTTTCCTCCCTTGCTTAGTATTGTTAGCCGAATGAATCAGGTAAAATCCATCTGATGATAAGGATACATACATTCTTTGTTTGCAATGTGTGTATGTGTTCTAAGTGAAAGTATTTGAATACACTTACTGAATACTTACAGTATGCAAGCGCCTGTGCTAAATCCTTTAATGGTTCTTACTTAATCCTCACTAGGACTCTATATGGGGAGTTACTGTTATCCATTTTTTATAGATGCAGAAACAAAATTGGAGGTTAAATAACTTGCAGGTGATTTTTCAGCAAATAAATGGGAGCACAGAGTTTCAAGCTCATGACCACCTAACTCCAGAGCTTACGATCTTTATCACAGTGCTAAACTATTCAATTTTATACATTTCAATGATAAGTTTTTTTTTTTTTAATTGTAGTTTAGATGAAGGTTTACAGAAGAAACTAGCTTCTCATTAAGCAGTTAGTACAGATATTGTTGTATGACATTGGTTAACAACCCCACGACATGTCAACACTCTCCCTTCTCGACCTTGGGTTCCCTATTACCAGCTGTCCTGTCCCCTCCTCCCTTCTAGTCCTTGCCCCTGGGCTTCAATGATAGGTTTTAGATTCTGAGGTTTGAATTAGATAATGAAGGTTAGATTGCCATTTCTAGTTCTAGATGGCCTACACAGTGCATTAAGAATGAAATACATAATTTCTTGGATCAAAAGGAATGAAATTTGAACTTCGATTCTTCAGTCTTTTAGGAATGGGGATTCTTTGTAATACATTTTCAGAGCAAATGAAAAATTTGTTTTGCCTTTATGTAGCTTTGGGTACCCCTGGAAGAGTTTTTTGTTAGTTTTTTTTTTTTTTTCTTTAACTTTAGATGAAGTTTACAGAACTAGCTTCTCATTGAACAGTTACTACATTGTTTTGTGACCCTTGTTGGCAACCCTCCGACATGTCACCACTCTCCCCTTCTTGACCTTGGGTTCCCTGTTACCAGCTTTCCTGTTGTCTCCTCCTTTCTCGTCCTTGCCTCTGGGCTGGTGTGGCCTCTTTAGTCTCGTTTTGTTTTATGGGCCTGTCTAATCTTTGACTGAAGGGTAAACCTCAGGAGTGACGTCATTACTGGGCTAAAAGGATGTCCCGGGGCCATACTCTCGGAGTTTCTCCAGTCTTTGTCAGACCAGTAAGTCTGGTCTTTTTTTTGTGTGTGTGAGTTAGAATCTTGTTCTACATTTTTCTCGAGCTCTGTCCAGGACCCTCTGTTGTGTTCCCTATCAGAGCCGTCGATGGTGGTAGCCAGGCACCATCTAGTTGTGCTGAACTCAGTCTGGTGGAGGCCATGGTAGTTGTGGTCCATTAGTCCTTTGGACTAATCTTTCCCTTGTGTCTTTAGTTTTTTTCATTCTCCCTTGCTCCAGACGGGGTGAGACCAGTGGAGTATCTTAGATGGCCGCTCACAAGCTTTTAAGACCACAGACACTACTCACCAAAGTAGAATGTAGAACATTTACTTTATAAACTATCTTGTGCCAATTAAGCTAGATGTTCGCCAAGACCATGGTCTGTCCCCACAGCCCTCAGCCCAGTAATTCAGTCTCAGGGAGTTTGGATGTGTCTGGAGCTTCCATGACCTTGCCTTGTACAAGTTGTGCTGGCTTCCCCAGTATTGTGTACCGTCCTTGGAAGAGAAATTTTTTTTTTCTTTTTCAAAAATGTCACATTCTTATTGTTAGCTACCATGGAGTCAGCCTCCAAATTATGGCGACCCCATGCAGTTCGGAACTAAATAGTACCCGGTCCTGGGCCATCCCTATTACCAGTTGGGGATCAGACTGTTGAGATCCACAGGTTTTTATTGACTGATTTTCAGAAGCAGATCACCAGGCCTTTCTTCCTAGTCCATCTTAGTCCGGAAGCTATGCTGAAACCTGTTCAGCATCATAACAGCACAAGCCTTTACTGATAGGTAGATGATGGCTGTGCATGAGGTGCACTGGCTGGGAATGGAACCCAGGTCTCCCATATGGAAGGCATGAATTCTACCACTGAACCACCAGTGCCGTTTTAGGAGGTCATACTCTGTTGGAAATCATAAACTGGCTGACGGTTTCACTTACTGGTCATTTGCATGAAGATACTGTAACAGTCGTATTAAACTCAGTGTGATTTTTATAAGTGTCCAACTGTATTTGAATAAGAGTCCCTGGGTGGGGCGGTTAAGCACTCAACTACTAACCAAAAGGTTGGTGCTTCGAACCCACCCAGGGGTGCCTTGGAAGAAATGCCTGGCAGTTTGCGTCCGAAAGGTCACAGACTTGAAAAAGCTATGGAATCCAGTTCTACTTTGCAAGCTATGGAATCCAGTTCTACTCTGCACACATGGGGTTGCGATGAGTTGGAATTGACCAATGGCAACTGGTTTGTTTTTCATATTTGAGTAAGCCAGAGAGTATTTTTAAAAGTTTGGTAAATTCTATCTCTGCAACTTTAAAACACATCTCTGTAGCTAATTTTCTCTTTAGATTTGTACTTTGATTCAATTTGAATTGGGAAATTGAAGGTATTTATGCAAAGACTTTTTCTTAAGAAAACAGAATTTTTCAAGTAAGTTGTTTATTCTTACAAACTAAATCCTCATATTTAAACTAAGGCATTTGTTGATCTTTGAGAGTGTATAAGACTATCTAAAAAGCTTCTCATTGGGTCAGCCATCAAATCGTATCACTAACCAGAGTCTCAGTTTTCTCTGGATGTCTGCAGAATGAGGCCCTTTTAAACATCAGATTGCTTTCACAACCAAACTTAATGAAGCTTATGTTGAACTTGTTGGTATTTTATTACTAATACAATTCTCCTTTCTCTCTTTTTTTTTAGGCAACAGTAACTAGTGTCTTGGAATACTTGAGTAATTGGTTTGGAGAAAGAGACTTTACACCAGAATTGGTAGTATTGCATCTTTTTATTTTCATAATGCAGGCAAAATTATATATACTTATATGTAAGATGTTTCTTTATGTGCATATATAAGTATATATATGTATGTATATATGTATTCATAACTATGCTTGTTTGCAGTGAAGTAAGGAGCTTACATCAGTATAAATCAATGTCCTACCTCCTTCATTGAGGAAGTCTTGCTTTGGGGGAAAAGATGTCAACTGAACTAAAGAGTTGATTTATATCCTGATACGTGTTCTTTATCTTAGCTCAGTTCAGCAACAAGCAGGTCATAAACTTGCAACCAGTCTGCAAACCCCACTTTGAGCAGTGGCTTAAAGCAAATTTGAAATGCATTTTCAAGAATGGCCTTGAAATCCAGTCCAAATAAGGACTTGACAGCACCTAACAACAACATGTCAGCCATTGCTCTAAAGATTGTATATAATAACTCATTGTATCCTCCAACAACCAATGAATGTTATTATCTCCATTTTACAGATAAGGAAACTGAAATACTGAGAGGTTAAGTAACTTGCTGAAGGTCACACAGCTAGTAACTGAGACTCAAGCCCAGACATTCTGGCTCTAGTATGTGTATTCTTAAACAGCTATGCTACACTGCTGTTCTATTTTAGTACTTTATATTTACAGCTTATTTCTCATCCTCAAAATTGGGTAAATTTGATGGGGATTATATAAATGAATTATCCCCTGATTAATTCTCCCCTAATTTGATGTTAAGAAATTTTATCATCTTTTGAGTGATGTTTTATTTTTAGAAACAAAAAATTTGAGGATATTTGCAAAAAAGTGTTTCTGAGACCGTGAAGCTCCCTGTCAGGACTCCTGAATACCGTGCATTGATTTAACATTTATCGAACACTTTCTATGTATTATCCACAGTGCTCATGAAACAAAGATACAATCTTTTCCCTCCAGAAGCTTGTAGTTTCCTGGGAGACACAGATAAACCAGCACTGCAGTACAGTGCATAGGTTTCCCAGCTGACTGTTCAGCCAAGTGGCTTATATAAGTTTCTTCCATAAGTGTATCCGTTTATCTCTAGATTTTTATTTTAGACTTTCCTATTTTCATTCTTTGGAATCTCTGTTATATAGTATGTACTTTTTCTGGAGGAAACATGTTTTAAATCAGTTTCTGATTCCATCAGTGGTTATACATGTCTCTTACATAGTTGTAATCAATGCATGTATTCTATTTAGCTCACTTTTCATATATATGTATTTCCATTTGATAACGTAATTCACATAATTTCCATTGTCTTAATGTATCTTGGTTTACTTTGATTCTTTCATTATTGACCATTTGGACTCTTTTCCTATATTTTGCTATTGTGACTAAATTATTCCCATTTATTCTTCTTTCTTTTTTTATTAGTATTAAATTCTCAGAATATTCCTAGATTTAAAAAAGTTAAACACAGAACTACCATATGACTCAGGAGTTCCACTCTTAGGTGGCTTAGTGTATTCACAAATTAGGTATACCCAAGACAGGTAGATGTGTATAGACACTTGTGCACCAGTGTTCACTGCAGCATTATTCACAATAGCCAAAAGGTAGAAATATTTCTAGATTAAAATGATTGGATCAGGGCTTTATAAACATTTATTACATTTTGCCAGATTGCTGTCCAGAAGAAATGAACCAGTTTATAATGCCAGCAGCAATGGATACTTAAATTTATTTCTCTTCTCTATAACCCACTGTAAGTGGAACCATATGAAATTGTTGTTTTGTAGGTTAATGTTTATCAGCAATTCCATGTGGTTCAATCTAACATTATTTTATGATTTGTGATGATTTTTCAAATCTATTGTAGTACTTCAAAGTAAATGTAGTTTGTATTTTTTTCAATACTAATGAAACAGTATTTTCCCCATTCATTGGTATGTTAGCTACACCTTCCATTGATAACTTTGTTTATATTCTAAGGCTATTTGTTCATTGGAATCTAGATATTGAAGTTAAAATTTTATATCAGTTCTTTGTGTCTGATTGTGACATCCTGAGTGTTCAACGATAGGATGTTGGTTAAGTAAATCATGGTGTATCACAATGGAGCATTGTATCATTTAAAAATCATGTTTATGCATTCATTCCACAAATATTTTTAATTAACTTCTGTCATGTTCCAGGTCTAGGCTAAGGTCCTGGGGATATAATAACTATCGTTATACTCTCACAGAGTTTAGGAGGAAAAAAGAATAAAAGTATGATAAGTGTTTGTTTAAGTGCAGTGTTGAAAATATTTAATAAAATTCCCTTTTAATCCCATTTAACATGAGAAAATGTTCATTATGTGTACTGTATGTAAAAAAGATGGCCACAGAATGGTATTACAGTGATGAAACGATTGAGAAAAATTGTACATATGCATAGAAAAAAATGAACATATTAAAATGTTTGCAGAAATTTTATCTGGGAAGTAGAATTACAGCTTTGTTTTTTCTTTGTACTTTTTGTATTCACAGTTTTTCTGCATAGAGTATATATTACTTTTATAATTAAAAAGAAAAATCTATTTAAAAAAACAGGAGGGTAGATAAATTTATTCTGCCATAGACCTTCAAAACATTATTTCATCTTTAGTCCCTTTGTAGGGACACAGAGGATAAAGTTATGATTTGTCTCTAGTGGACAAAGTAAAAACATAACGTAATTTTTGCAAGGATTTATAAACATCTTAATGTAGTTTTTAGTATGAATTAGGAGTTCAGTTGTAGTAAGCATCTCTGAAACAAATTGAGTATTAGGGAATATTTGGAAGTATCCAATGTGCTGTATAGTTACAAGATAGAAGAGATAGCATCTGGCTGTACAGATTACCCTTTGTTATCTATGTCCAAACAAAATATAGTTAAATATTCTATGAATTCATTCATAGCAGATAACCAGGAACAACATTAAACATTCTTAAAAAATAAGTTAAGCTTATGGTTCAGTATTTGCCTACTTAACTACTTTTTAAAAAATTCTATTTAGGGAAGATGGCTTTATGCTTTGTTGGCTTGTCTTGAAAAACCCTTATTACCTGAGGCTCATTCACTGATTCGGCAGCTTGCAAGAAGGTGCTCTGAAGTGAGGCTCTTAGTGGTAAGTTGCAACTTTCTGTTTCAAATTGAAAGCACCCAGTGATTTATATGTGGTAAAAAGGATTCCAGTGAAATAGGAAAACACGTGAAACATTTTATTAGTTTGGATTAGATATGGCCACATAACAGAAAAACCCAAAATAACAGTAGCTTAAATAAATAAAAAGATGGAAATGTTTTCCTCAGATAGAGGAAATCTGAAAGTAGGTAGATCTAAGATGGCAGTGACCGAGGCCTTTGAGTTCTGCTACTCGTGGTTTCAAACTCACCTCAGGATACAAGATGGCTCTGCCGGAGCTTCAGCCATTGTATCTCATTATAAGTATCTGGAAAGAAGAGAAGAAGGCCATACCCTTTAAACAGGCTTCCCAGATGCTTCACAAGCACATCTGCCTCTATAGCTCATTGGCCAGAATTTAGTCACATGGTCATAAAGGGTATGGGAAATGTTTACTTTTAGCTAAGTGGCATTATGCCTAGCTAAAAAATGAACTTATGTCGTAAATAGTAAAGGAAGACAAGAAGCTAGTCAACTAGTGGTCACTGGCACAATGATTGTTTTGAAACTCTCAGACCCTTCCTCTAATATAATCTCTGCAGCATTACAATATAAATGAATCTATTGCCAGATTAAGCCCAATTCTGACTTTTTTCTTTCCCTCATTGCTATTCCCTCCCCAAAATGTATAGTTGTTGTCCACTGACTACTCCAAAATGTTTCCATTAAATCTCCATGATATGGCCCCAGCCAGCTTTCGTATGGCCTATATTCCAAGCAGAATATACTTGCTTTTCCCTAAATATTCCCCATGCTTTGTTCCTGGACTTTATTCCCTCTGCAGAAGTATCTTTTTACTCTCTTCCAATCTGCATCTAAATACCATTTACTTTTCACAGTCTGGCTCATATTCTATCACTTGCTATGATTCTTCACCTAATGCTAACTAGAAATAGTCTCCTTCCTCTGTTTTCCCAGTATACTTTGTATCCTTTACATGGCATTTAACACATTTTCCCTTTCATTAAAGCTAATATGTAGATATTTTATCTTCTGTGCTCTTAGCAGATAATATGTTTTACTCAGCTTTGTTCCCTATAGTGCTTAACCAAAAACCAAACCAGTTGCCATCAAGTCAATTCTGATTCATAGCGACCCTATAGGACAGAGTATAACTGCCTCATAGCGTTTCCAAGGGGCGCCTGGTGGATTTGAGCTTCCAGCCTTTTAGTTAGCAGCTGTAGCTCTTAACCACTATGCCACCAGGTTTAAATTGAATGCACTAACAACATACAAGTGCATCCCGAGTTTGCGTGAATATATGACTATCTAACATTGGAGCCCTGGTGGCTCAGTAGTTAAGAGCTCGGGCTGATAACCAAAAGGTCGGTAGTTTGAATCCACCACTAGCTCCTTGGAAACCCCATGGGGCAATTCTGCCCTGTCCTGTAGGGTCGCTATGAGTTGGAATTGACTTGACGGCAACGAGTTTTGTTTTGGTTTTATCTAACATTACTCAATAGGTAATTGTGACTGTGTCTTGAAATGTATCAAAATAAACTTCATACTCTGTAAAACTACCTTCCATGTGTCCTAGGCCTGTCATTTTGGCAAATATTTAAAGTGAACTTTCTAAAACTTAGAGTTCAGAACCTATCTGCATTAAAATTGAAAACTCTGTTCTGGAATATTTTCTGGTATGTATACCTTATGGCTGGAAGCCAGAATTTAGCTTCTTCTCAATTTTAAGTCTCTTAAAGTATCTTTTATGTAATTTTTTTCATTATTGTTCAAGTAGAACATTCGATTGTTCCTCTAATAGGAACCAGGAAAAATCTCTCCAAAGTTTTTCCCCCTTAGAGCCCTCAACTGTTACTCCCTTTGTCTGTTAAGAATCTTTAAAGGAAGATCTTAGACGTTTCTCAAGAGGTCATTAACTCCATAATTCTTTTTTCTTTGAGGGTTCCTATTTCCATGTGGTTACTGTCATCTAATAAAATTTTCATGCTTTGCATCTTAAAAGGAATTGTTTTTCAAAAATACTAGGGAGGAGAAAACTACATTTTATGTTTTTTTTTTTTTTTCTTTTTTTAGGACAGCAAAGATGATGAGAGAGTCCCTGCTTTGAATTTATTAATCTGCTTGGTTAGCAGGTATAGTTAAGTCATTCTTGGTTTCTTGCTTTATACTAGCGTTATCAATGGTGGTAGGTACTATTGTTTCCATCTTACAGTTGAGGAAAATGATGTTTAAGAAAACAATTTTGTAAGTATCACAATTTATTTAATCAATCCCCTATTGTTTCCCATTTACCTCTGCAAATAATGCTGCAGTAAAGATCCTTACACATACAGCTCTGTTTATTTCTAAGGGTAAATTCCTAGAAATAAGTCAAAAGGTATGTACTTTTAAAACTGCGATTTGTAACTGACAGTTTGCCTTCCAGAAAGTTATTTCTGGACTTGATCAGTGTTTTTATTCTGTACCTTTCTATAGCTTTGATATATTTAAATATTGGGGAGGTGGGTAATCCTAGTCCTCTCCCCCCTTCTCCAACACAGTACACTATTTCAGAATACACATCTAGTTTATTATTATTTATACTTATTCAACATCTAGTTTCTTCATCTACAATAATGATGCTGCTGCTGCTGCTTAACATTTACACTTTGTGCCAAACACTTTTCTTAGTGCTTTATAATAGGAACTTATTTAATCCTAAAGTAGGTATTATCAGGTTACAGATGAGGAAACCATGGTACAGAGAGGTTAAGTAACTCCTACAATCACAAAGCTAGCAAAGGCAGAGTAATACCTACCCTCATCTGTTGGTGGTAGTAGTGCTACAATTATTCTCTTTTTTGATAGGTATTTTGACCAACGTGATTTAGCAGACGAGCCATCTTGATGTAGCTGATCTCTCAGAGATAGAAGATACTGGTAAAGGCAGCCTTAGTCTGAGAAAGTGCAATGCCAATTCAAGTGCAGATTGTATCACATCTTCAACACTATGTGAAGGGTCCTTAACCTCTGCAGCTCAAGTTGATATTCAGAAGATGGTTTTTACTGTTTTGAATGTGTGAAACATCTATGGAAAATCTCACCCAGTTTGTGATTACCAGTTTGAACAGTTCTTTACCATCACATGCTTTTAAAACAAATTGAGTGCCATTTATTGCTGAAGCAGCTTGTGTAGAAACTGTATCATGAAATTTTACAGTAGGTCTTTGGTGCTTTCATTATTTATATACATACATATAAAATTTTATTGAAAATTTGTTTGGGTTACTTAAAATTTTCTTGACTCTTGACAAAAAAGACAGTTAATTGATAAATATCCTGAGTATTAAAAAGAAAATAGGTTAAATGGCAAATGTGTTCATAGTCTAAAATCAACAAAACTAGTTAAGCTTTTTTCCTTTAAACATAATATTTTTATTTTTAAATTCTTTATTGCACAGTTTTTTTTTCTGGTTTTTTTTCTTTCATTGTACTTTAGATGAAGGTTTACAGAAGAAACTAGCTTCTCATTTAACAGTTAGTACACATATTGTTGTATGACATTGGTTAACAACCCCATGACATGTCAACACTCTCCCTTCTCGACCTTGGGTTCCCTGTTACCACTTTCCTGTCCCCTCCTACTTTCTAGTCCTTGCCCCTGGGCTGGTGTGCCCCTTTAGTCTCATTTTGTTTTATGGGCCTATCCAATCTTTGGCTAAAAGCTGAACTTTAGGAGTGACTTCATTACTGAACTAAACGGCTGTCTGGGAGCAAAATTTTTTCTTAACAAATCATTTTCAATATTAGTACCATTATAGATCAACTGTTTGGATTTTTCTAGTTGTTGAATCTTTTGTTCCTATTTCTTATAATTTATTTTTGTATCAGATAAGAATGTTTTCTGATTTAAGTAACAGGATCCAAATAGCAATGGTTACTCAAATAAGAATTTATTTTTCTCAGATAACAAGCAGCTTAGAGGAGCTTGACACTGGCATTGGTTTAGTGACTCAGTGATGTCAAGTTCTCTGAGATTCTTTTAGCCTTTCCCTCTTATTAACAAGATGGCTGCTGCAGTTCAAGGCATTCTGTCTATATTCAAGATAGGAAAAGAAGTAAAGGAGGCAGAGCCTTCTACCATCAGACCTTTTCCTCGTAAAACAAAACCTTTCCCCAGAATCCACAGCTGGCTTATGTTCATCCATTAGCCACAAGTTTATAACATGATCAACTCTAGCTCCAAGAAAGGTGGGGAAATGAAGTTGTAAGCCTTTCCAACCTCTCGAATGTGAGGTGAAAAAGAAAAGGTTATTGTAAATAACCCCGGATCAGACAGCCAGTTGTTTTGCTACAACATATAATTGGAGCCGATGTAATTTTATATTTGAAACTACACCTTCATAAAGCTTGTTATTAAATGGTAGCCTAATAGTCCAAGTTGTTTTGTACCATACTTACTTAACATTCCATCATTGTTGGGTATCTAATTTGTTTTCAGTATTAATCGCATATAGAAAATGCTGCCATGAATATCCTCAGGTATAATTAACTTTCTTCTTTTTCAGACTTTGGTCAGAAGTTCCCAAGAGTAGGATTACAAATTATAAGAGTCTGTCAGTTCAGATTGAGTTTAAAACTTGACTAAACTGAGGTTAATTAGATTATGTTTCTCATATAATAAATATGATGTAAGTAGTTTAGTGCTGGTGCAGCAGCTCCACAATGTCTTAAATATCTCAGGCTGTATCCAGATTTCTCTTTCATCATCCTTAGTGTGTAGCTTTCATCTTCCTGGTCATGATATGGTTGCTTTATCTCTTGCTTCACATCTCTACATTATAGGGGGAAAAAAAAGGTACCATTCCTTGTTGCCTATATCAGGGGAGCAAAGCTTTACAAGAAACCCTCAACTCACAGCTCATTTGCCAGAGCTATGACCATGGCCAGCCCTAATTATAATTATAAGGAAAGCTGAAAAATATAATCTTTTAGCTGGGCACAATGCTACTCCTGATTAAAATTAGGGTTCTCTTAGAAAAGAAGGGGAGGGTGGATATTGGATAGGCAGCCAGCAGTGTCTACCACAAAGGGTTTAAATTACCAATCCACATCACAACTAGCTGTGTTATAGCCTCACATTTTCTGCTGATAAGTGATGTTCACATATTTGCTGGGGAGGGGGATGATTTAAAAAAGGTAATACGTCAGTTATTGTTTAAATTTACATTTTTCCATTATTAGTGGCTGAGTATATACAGGTGTGTGTTGCTTAACATACATAATATGTTCTGTGCAATAGGATGTTACGTGATTTGAACGTTGTGTCTGTGGGGCACGGGGCTCCTGGGTGCACTGGCCTTAGGTGAGTGATCGGCCAGGTCCCTCCTGCCCAGCTGTCGCTGCCTTCTCTGCTAAGCCAGCTGCAGGGAAGGTCAGCTCACCTATGAGAACCTGCCTGGGGAGGGGACAGTGTGGGCCAGGGGAGCCAACGGTGCCCGAGCCGGGGCTGGGGTGTCCAGGGCGCATATCTTTCCATTGGTGCCCTACGAGTAGTCCCGCAAACTTGTGGGAGCTGAGGGGGACTGGGGTTGGGAATTGGGGCCTCCATTGTCACAAAGTAGGTGGCTTTCAGGCCATGTGCAGCAGCTGGGCAGAAGTGGAGCTCTGACCAAGACAGGTCTGGCTTCCTGGCACTCAGACACTTGGGTGCCCTGGCCCACAAGCGTGTAGCTGGTCAGACATTGCCAGAATGGATGGTATGCAACATATACCTCTACTTTTGCACACTACTCACAGTAAAATTCCAGACGACACCTCTATTTACTAGCAAGCTGGACAATCTCTAATATTTAACTGAAAACCCATTTTTGTAATGATTCAACCTGATATTAAGGATATATTTCAGGACTACAGAAACAAATAGAAGTAAAAGACATTTTAAACCACTGTTGTAATAAAAGTATGCAGGCTGTTGGTATAGGCTTAAAGTTTATCAGGGTTTTCACAATTAAAAGTATCTTTTGATATTAATCAGAGAATCAGAAGAAAAAGTTCCCCAACTCTTAACACAGGTAGAAAGCCTTAGATCTGTTGAGATATTATACATTTTAAAGGTGGTTATTAAAAAGGAATAGCTATAGAATGGTAGTTTAATCACATCTGTGGAAGCACTGACCAAGTAAATTAGACTGCATCTGTATTTATTACTCCCTGTGATCAGGACAGTATACTTCTAATATTTTTATTAAAATTGTCTTAGTTTCTTTTAAAAAACAGATTATTTTCCCTGTGTCTCTTGTCAGAATAGAGACTGAATTAGATTAAAACTGATTAAGATTATAGGTTCCACCAGTTTAATCAGTTTTAAGATTATAGGATGGTAAAACCTATGATCTTAATCAGATAGAAGAATGTTTTTGAAATTATTGGGAAAGATCAAGTTAACCTGTGTCCATACTGAGATTATATTTTTCTATACATATTTCCCAAAATATATGCCCTAGAATACTGGTTTATGTGAGCTGCTAGTGTTTCTTGAGAAAATGGTACTATGATCAAATACTAGGTTAAACAAAATTAAGCTGTTTGATTTTTCTGAACCTGCATATGCCATTAATGTGCATTAAGAACTTTCAAAGGAGGCTCACATAAATTTTAAAATTTATTTGATCACAGAACTCACTTTTCAGAGTATCTGAAAAAGTTTAGTAGGTTCTACCCAGTTTCTTCATTAACTCTGATTACCCCAAAATTTGTGCCAATCTCAGTTTATGCAGCCAGTTTGATGTTTACCTAGGCCTGAGGCCAACTCCCATTTTAAACAGCTATATCCTTGTGGGAGTCAGGAATAATTCAACAAGCAACCTTGGCTCTAGAACACTGATTTTCCTATTCACTGCATGATATCCTCTGCATGAGGATAGACTGCTAGATACTGGAGGGATTGGTCTATGTCAGCATGGCCAGCGCAAGCCACTGACTAAACAGTTTACTATGCTGTCTTTATATTCATGTTGTTCATACACTGATTTTCTACTGTTGAAACATATCTGCTCCTTAAAACAAGTTTTCTATGTCTTCATTTAGGGCCCTTGATAACTAATTAGTCAAGGTAAAGCAGTACAAAAGTATGCTGAAACCTAAACTGCTTTCTAATTGCCAAGGGGTTACAAACCAGAATATTATTTTTTATTTTTATTCTATATTTACATTTACACATACAAAGACACTGGTATTTACATGGATTATCTCAAATTTTACACCAATCCTATGATTATCCCTACAGGAGTTTTTTAACCTGGTGTTCATAACCTGGAATGGCTAAAATATTACATCTCTGTTTTCACTATTCTCTCAGGTGTTACTTAGCATTTCCTTCAGTTATGGATATAGGCAACAAACTGTTACTTTGTCAGAATAAGCAGAAGTCACAAATGTTTTCATATTGTAGTTGCAGATAGCTCTACTTCAAAATTATGAAAGTAGTTTAACACTGAAAATGTCAATACTACCCAAAGGGATATATAGATAGAATGCAGTCTTGATCCAAATCCCAACAGCATTTTTCGAAGAGATAGAAAAACTAATCACTAACTTTATATGGAAGGGAAAGAGGTCCTGAGTAAGTAGTGCTTTATTAAAAAAGAACAAAGTAGGAGGCCTCACACTATCTGATCTCAGAACCTGCTGTACAGCCACAGTAGTCAAAACAGCCTGGTACTGGTACAATAACAGAAACACCGATCAGCGGAACAGAACTGAGAACCCAGAGGTAAATCCATCCACCTACAGACAGCTGACCTTTGACAAAGGACCAAAGTTTAGTGAATGGGGAAGAAACAGTCTCTTCAATAAGTGGTGCTGGCATAATCGGATATCTGTTGTAGAAAAATGAAATGATCTGTAACTCATACCATGCACAAACTAACTCAAAACTGATCAAAGACCTAAATATAAAACTTGAAACTATACAGATTATGGAGGAAAAAATAGGGATGTGGCTGGGGGCCCTAATATATGGCATAAATAGAATACCAAATGTAACTAAAAATGCACACATAGCAGAAGATGAACTAGATAACTGGGACCTCCTAAAAATTAAACATTTATGTACAACAAAAGACTTCTCCAAAAGAGTAAAAAGAGAACCTACAGATTGGGAAACTTTTTTTGTCTACAACATATCCGACAAGGGTCTAATCTCTAAAATTTGCAGAAAACTTCAACACCTCAAAAACAGACAGTCCAATTTAAAAATGGGCAAAGGTGCCTGGTTACCACCATCTACTGCTCTGGAAGGGATCAGGATAGAGGGTCCCAGACAGTGGGAGAAAAATTAGAACAAAATTCAAATTCACACACACAAAGAGCAGGCTTGCTGGTCTGACAGAGACTAGAGAAACCCTAAGAGTATGGCCCCTGGACACCCTTTTCACTCAGTACTGAAGTTACTCCTGAGGTTCACCTTTCAGCCAAAGGTTAGACAGGTCTATGGGACCAACAATAACATATACGAGGGGCGTGCTTCCTAGTTTAATCATGTATACAAGACTAATAAGCACACCAGCCCAAAAGCAAAGACAAGAAGGCAGGAAGGGACAGGAAAACTGTACAAATGGAAACAGGCAACCTGGGGTGGAGAAGGGGAGAGTGTTGACACATTGCGAGGTAGGCAACCAATGTCACAAAACAATCTGGGTATTAACTGTTTAATGAGAAACTAATTTGCTAATGTAAACTTTCACCTAAATCACAGTTTAAAAAAAAAAAGATTACACACACACAAAAAAAAAAAATGGACAAAGGATATGAAGACGTTCAGGCTGCTAATGAACAAAAGAAATGCTTGTGATTATTAGCAATTAGAGAGATGCAAATCAAAACTACAATGAGATACCGTCTCACCCCGACATTACTGGCACTAATCAAACAAAATAACATGTTGGCAAGGTTGTGGGGAGACTGAAAACTGTTACACACTGCCAATGGGAAGGTAAAATGGTACAACCCCTATGGAAAATAGTATGACGCTTCCTCAAAAAGCTAGAAATAGAAATACCATGTGATCCAGCAATCCCACTCCTAGGTATATACCCTAGAAAAATAACTGTGACATGAATAGAAATATGCACAGCCATGTTCACTGCAGCATTATTCACAATAGCAAAAAGGTGGAAGTACTCTAAGTGCCCGTCAACAGGTGAATGGATTAACAAACTGGTACATACACAATGGAATACTATGCAACAATAAAGAATAATGACAAATCTGCGAAACATCTCCCAACATGGATGAGTTTGGAGAATGTTATGCTGAGTGAAATAAGTCAATTGCCAAAGGACAAATATTGTATGAGGCTGCTATTATGAAGTAGTAATAAAAGGTTTACACACAGGGAAAACAAAAATTCTTTGATGGTTACCAGGAATGGGAGAGGGAAGGAGGGAAAATTACGAAATACATAGTAGACACGGTTTAATATTGGTGAAGGGAAAGGCAGTACATAATATGGGAGAAGTCAGCACAACATGACCAAAGCAAGAGAGGACAATGAGAGGAATGCAGCAATAAAGGACAACTATGGAGCCCTGGTGACGAAGTGGTTAAGCGTTCAGCTGCTAACCAAAAGGTCAGCAGTTTGAATCCACCACTGCTCCTTGGAAACCCTATGGTGCAGTTCTACTCTGTCCTATAGGGTCTCTATGAGTCAGAATCAACCAGACAGTAATAGTTTTTTTTTTTTTTTTTTTTACTAGCACAGACAATACTGCAACAATAGTATTAACAAACAATTTATGAATGGATACATAGACATGCCAAGAGGTGAGGGAGGGTGTAAGGGAGCACACCCACTGGCAGATAAAAGATTTGGTAGTAGAAATTTCTAAATACATGACTGGAGGTACTCCTCATGTATTAAGATAGACAAGAGAGCACACAAGTGGCACAGTTAGGGAGACCTTAGACATGACATAACTACCTTGCGGGATGAAGTTCCCAAGCTCAAAAGCTAAGGACCATAGACTCAGGACATCTGCATCAACTGGCACAACATAGTTCTTAACGACAATGGTCTACATCCTACTTGGTGAGTAGCATCTGGGATCTTAAAAGCCTGCAAGTGACCATCTTAGATACAACTATTGGTCTCTTCCTGTCTGGAGCAAAGGAGAGTGAAAAAAACCAAAGACTCAAAGGAGCAGTTAGTCCAAAGTGCTAATAGACCACATGAACCACATGATGATGCAAATCAAAACTACAATGAGATACCCTAACCTAACCCTAACCCTGCAACCAAAAGAACTAGATGGTACACGGCTATCACTACCAACCGCTCTGACTGAGATTACAACAGAGGGTCCTGGACAGAGTGGGAGATAAATGTAGAACAAAAGATCAAATTCACAAAAAAAAGTCCAGACTTACTGGTCTGACAGAGAATGGAGTAACCCCTGAGATTATGGCCCTAACACACCCTTCTGACCTGGAACTGAAGCCGTTCCCGGAAACCACCTTTCAGCCAAACAACAGACAAGCCCATAAAATAAACAATAAAACCCAAAAGGAAGGTGCTCCTTAGAACAATAAAAAAAAAACCCTGGCCTTCTCACTACAAAAGCAGCATAGATAGATCCTGGAAATGGAAGAGGTAAGAGACCCCATGAGCACTGACCCCAAGAAGATATGGCTCAGTGAATGTTTTTGTTTTTGTTTTTTAATTTTAAATGTTAAATACCTTTATTTTTCCTAAATTTTATTTATCTTGTTGTTGTTTTTGAGAATATACACAGCAAAACACACCAATTCAACAGTTTCTGTATGTACAATTTAGTTACATTGGTTACATTCTTCAAGTTGTTCAACCCTTCTCACCTTCCTTTTCTGAGTTGTTCCTCCCTGGATAACATAAACTCACTGCTTCCTAAGGTTCCTAACTAATCTTCTGAGTTGCTGTTGTCACTTTGATCCCATATAGATAGTTCTTAAAAGAGCATAATGCTGAAGGCAGACGTTTTTTACTAGTTAAGCTAACCTATTGTTTGTTTTAAAAAGACTTTAAGGGATGAATGTTACTTTGAATGGTTCAATTCTCCATCCATCTTCCCTTGAGGAAGAGTGAATAAGGGAATAAAGATAAAGATGGAAGAAACTTCACCAGCATTTTCATGCATGGGGAAAAGCTGAAAGTCATGGCTGTAACAAGAAGTAAGAAGTATAAAAATTCCTTCCCAACACACATTTAAACTAATTATATTTCACTCTGATTACATTGGAAATCCTGGTGGCGTAGTGGTTAAAAGCTACAGCTGCTAGCCCAAAGGTCAGCAGTTCGAATCCACCAGGTGCTCCTTGGCTTGGAAATTCTATGGCACAGTTCTACTCCGTCCTATAGGGTCACTATGAGTCGGAATCGACTCAACGGCAACGGGTTTGGTTTTCGATTTGTTGATTACATTAATAGAGTTCTAAAGGATTCAATTAAACTGAAATTAAGTTTGTAAGCAATTTAGGCAGTCAGATGTGTATTACGTATCATATACATAATATATACATGAC